GTGTGTGTGTGTGTGTGTGTGTGTGTGTGTGTGTGTGTGTGTGTGTGTGTGTGTGTGCACTGTAAAATACCGTACAACACCTACCCTGACTTTTACAAGATTAAGCTACTTCTTCAACAATACACTTGATTTGTACTGGTTACCTGCAGTGCAGTGGTGGATCCAGACATTTTTCTCAGTGGTGGCCAGACTGGGACCACTACTCACACAGGGGTGGCCAGGAAAATTACCTACATCACTTTTTACTTGAAAGTTTCTGCAAATCTTTGTGTTTTGAGCATTTCCTTGTGTCCTTATAGGCTGTGTCCACCTTTTAAACGTGTGTCAGAACCATTTTGAAAGTGGGGGGACAGACTGGGGGTCCTCCCCCAGAAAATTTTGAACAAAATAGACGCCATTTCCAGGATTCTGGTGTATTTTACCAGGTTGTTTAACATACTTTTACCTACATAAATAAACACTTGATTTAATATTTATCAGCCCCTGATTGTGACAAAGAAAGGTCACTGTACACTGTAAGTATCCAGCATCACTCCTATGTGCACTCAGTAGAAGTCTGTCCTGCTCAGGACCACACCGGTCCAGTCTGTTAGTGTTAATATTTAAATATAAGAACAAAAAAGTAATAAGTTTTCTCCTCTCTTCCTGCTCCTTCCTCCTGTCAGCTGATACAGCAGAGTTCTTTGACTTTGCTGAAACTCACCTCAGAAAAAAGACTTGACTGCTTTTAAATGTGCTTTATGAATGAGTTGTTTTCACTCATGTTGTCACATGCAGGTTTGATTTGACAGCGTTGACTGCTGACAGCTTTTTATGTGAACAGTCACTTGTGTAGAGGGAAAATGACCAGGACAGATGAGTGTGTTGAAAGAAAATCCCTGCTTTGTATCACAGCGTATTGAACTTATTGACAAATGGTGGATGTAAATTTAAAAAATATGCCAACTTTTAGAAATGGGACGATCTGGACGAGCTGTTTGTTTCATGGAGTCGTCCAATAGAGCAGTTTAATTTTGAATGAGTTACGTCATCACGTAGTGAAAGTACAGCAGCTCAGGGGGAAGGGGGGTTCTGCCCCGGGCAGAACCCCACTTCCCCCTGAGCTGCTGTACTCCACCCCCTGGAGCCATCATCCTGTGATTGAGGCAGGGGGTCCAAAAGTTTCAGGAGTAGGAGGCTATTTTGAAAAAACTAGGGAGCTGAACAAGCAATCGATCAGGGGGGTCCTTCCCCCAGCAAAAATGTGAAATTTAGAACATTAGAAACGCATTTTCCTGACATTTGGAACAAATCTGAGGGCGTTTGAAGAGTCGAAAATCAGAAATTTATTGAGGACAATTTCTGAATTTTATTATATTTTTTAGATTTTATGGTAAAGTGGGTCAAGTTATTCTTTGTGAGAACCAGAGTTTTAATCATTTACTGCTCAGGGTTTGGGCTGAAGTAAGAATAGAAAAAAAATCTCAATGCTGAATATTTAGGTGACATTTTATTGCAGTAGCTACCGAATCTGTGAAAACTTCAGGGTACATATTAATATGTGAACAAATTAACATGTTATCAAGAGTTTAAAAATAGGTCAAGAACTGGAGCTTGACTTCATCAGCCCCTCAAACAGGACACATGGGACCTAAAAGCTTTGATTAATAAAACAACAATTTTGCACAAGAAAATATCCAAATAAACAAAATTATGTAAATACGTATTTGGTCCATATCTTGGATACAGCTGACTGTGAACAGCCCACATCTTTAGCAACCATGCATGAAGAGTTACCTTCTTCAAGAAGTTTCACAATCCTCTCTTTTTTCCCTGTGTTTGGTTTTAAAAGTAACATTGACTGACTTCCACAATGTTTTCTCTTCATTCCTTTGAGTGTTCCTGAAAGCCAACAAGTTGCACTTTGGAATGACCTCATTATTGTCTCATGTTTTTGATCTGTGTTTGTTAAATGTCTAAATGAGTGCTCATCCAAGACTGGTGATTCCATAGTTTTTGCCAGGGGTTGTAAGTAAATATTTAATAAAAATCTCAATATGTTCTTTTGAATCAGGAGATAATTTCGTTACATCATTGTTAAATTGTTAGAACTATTATTAAAACCTGCAGAAAGCATGAGAAGCTGCAGTAAAAGAGTAATTTTGTTCAGAGCTAAATACAAGTATAGAATAGCTTACTTTGCCTTTTCAGATCTATTTCTATTTAAATTGCCTTTAGTTTGCTGCTTTAATATGATCAGAAACCTTCCTCTAACCTGTTGCATTAATATGATGTCTAAAATGGACAGCTGACCATCTAACAGTCCTTGTGTATTCTACTAGGATTGTCGATCTATAGGCATCTCACAATTGAATTTAGATTTAGATTGCTGTGATCTGATTTAAAAACAGTTGGTAATGCATTGCAATTATTTGCAAATTAAAATCATATGTGAACTCATCTTGATAATCCATAAACACACTTTAGATGTCTTGAAGTAGAGCTGCTGCTTCTCCACATGTAGAAAACAGTAAAGGTGGTTCTGGCAACTTGTAAGGTTTTCTGAGCATGTCCGTCTGGTAGGAGACCCCGAGGAAGACCCAGGACACACTAGAGCAGTATTTCCCAAAGTTGGGGTCGGGACCCAAAGTGGGGTCCTGAAACATCAAGGTGGGGTCCTGAAAAGATTTTCTGAATTAATTACATTTTTGCCTTAATTGTTACAAAGGAGTGAGGTTAGTGTTTTTAAAATGGATAAATGTAGTATAAAAAATATTGTTGCTATGTCCATGTTTTGTTGACCTGATACAAACGTTTATCATCCAAAAATAGTTGGGGGCACAGGTCTCTGCTACTGTTATTTTATGGGTCAAAAGCTGAAAAGTTTGGGAACCAGTGCACTTTGGTTCCCAAAGTTGGGCTTGGAACCCAATTATGAGTCATGAAGTACCTTGGATAATCTCCAGAAATCAATTTAAAGGGTAATAAAATAATTGCTGATGTAATATTTTCCCTGTAATTATTACAAAAACACAAAATAAGTATAAATAAGTATTTATATTTGTGTACAAGCTGTTTAGATTGTCAAAAAGCCTGTGTTTT